CACACACACACACACACACACACACACACACACACACACACACACACACACACACACACACACACACACACACACACACACACACACACACACATACACACACTCAAACACACACACAGTGTCACAAACCTTCTGGAGTTTTATGACAAGGTAACAGACGTAAGACACGAGAGAGAGGGGTGGGTTGATTGCATTTTCCTGGACTGCAGGAAGGCCTTTGACACAGTTCCTCACAGGAGATTAGTGAAGAAACTAGAAGAGCAGACACGTATTACAGGAAGGGCACTGCAATGGATCAGAAAATACCTGACAGGGAGACAACAACGAATCATGGTACGTGATGAGGTATCACAGTGGGCACCTGTGACGAGCGAGGTCCCACAAGGGTCAGTCCTAGGACGAGTGCTATTTTTGGTATATGTGAACGACATGGTGGAAGGGACAGACTCAGAAGTGTCCCTTTTCGCAGATGACGTGAAGTTGATGAGAAGAATTAAATCGGACGAGGATGAGACAGGACTGCAAAGAGACCTGGACAGGCTGGACATGTGGTCCAACAACTGGCTTCTCGAATTCAATCCAGCCAAATGCAAAGTCATGAAGATTGGGGAGGGGCAAAGAAGACCGCAGACAGAGTATAGGCTAGGTGGACAAAGACTACAGACCTCACTCAGGGAGAAAGACCTTGGGGTGACCATAATACCGAGCACATCACCGGAGGCACACATCAACCAAATAACTGCTGCAGCATACGGGCGCCTGGCAAACCTGAGAATAGCGTTCCGATACCTTAATAAGGAATCGTTCAAGACACTGTACACTGTGTATGTTAGGCCCATACTGGAGTATGCAGCACCAGTCTGGAACCCACACCTGGTCAAGCACGTCAAGAAGTTAGAGAAAGTACAAAGGTTTGCAACAAGGCTAGTCCCAGAGCTCAAGGGAATGTCGTACGAGGAAAGGTTAAGGGAAATCGACTGACGACACTGGAGGACAGAAGGGTCAGGGGAGACATGATAACGACATACAAGATACTGCGGGGAATAGACAAGGTGGACACAGATAGGATGTTCCAGAGAGGGGACACAGGGACAAGGGGTCACAACTGGAAGCTGAAGACTCAGACGAGTCACAGGGACGTTAGGAAGTATTTCTTCAGTCATAGAGTTGTCAGCAAGTGGAATAGCCTAGCAAGTGAAGTAGTGGAGGCAGGAACCATACATAGTTTTAAGAAGAGGTATGACAAAGCTCAGGAAGCAGAGAGAGGATCCAGTAGCGATCAGTGAAGAGGCGGGGCCAGGAGCTGAGTCTCGACCCCTGCAACCACAATTAGGTGAGTACAATTAGGTGAGTACACACACACACACACACACACACACACACACACACACACACACACACACACACACACACACACACACACACACACACACACACACACACACACACACACACCGTGTACGTTAGGCCCATATTGGAGTATGCGGCACCAGTTTAGAACCCACACCTAGCCAAGCACGTAAAGAAACTAGAGAAAGTGCAAGGATTTGCAACAAGACTAGTCCCAGAGCTAAGAGGTATGTCCTACGAGGAGAGGTTAAGGAAAATCAACCTGACGACACTGGAGGACAGGAGAGATAGGGGCCCGGACATGATAACGACATACAAAATACTGAGAGGAATTGACAAGGTGGACAAAGACAGGATGTTCCAGAGATTGACACAGTAACAAGGGGACACAGATGGAAGTTGAAGACACAGATGAATCACAGGGATGTTAGGAAGTATTTCTTCAGCCACAGAGTAGTCAGTAAGTGGAATAGTTTGGGAAGCGATGTAGTGGAGGCAGGATCCATACATAGCTTTAAGCAGAGGTATGATAAAGCTCACGGTTCAGGGAGAGTGACCTAGTAGCGACAAGTGAAGAGGCGGGGCCAGGAGCTTGGACTCGACCCCTGCAACCTCAACTAGGTGAGTACAACTAGGTGAGTACACACATACACACACACACACACACACACACACACACACACACACACACATACATGTGCCTAGGACAAAATGGTAACTAACTAACTAACACACACACACACACACACACACACATACACACACACACACACACACACACACACATACACACACATACACACACACACACACACATACACACACACACACACACACATACACACACACACACACACACACACACACACACACACACACACACACAACACACATACACACACACACACACACACACACACACACACATACACACACACACACACACACACACACATACACACACACACATGTTTTCTTAACAGCATACCTTGCAATTTACATTTAATCCAACTATGTCCGGTGTTGTGTTGTGTTGCGTTGTGTTGTGTTGTGTTGTGTTGTGCTATATTGTGTTGTGATGTATTGTATTGTGTTGCGTTGTGTTGTATTGTATTGTATTGTATTGTATTGTGTTGTGTTGTATTGTGTTGTGTTGTGTTGTGTTGTGTTGTATTGTATTGTGTTGTGTTGTATTGTGCTGTGTTGTATTGTATTGTATTGTATTGTGTTGTGTTGTATTGTGTTGTGTTGTGTTGTGTTGTGTTGTGTTGTATTGTGTTGTGTTGTGTTGTATTGTATTGTATTGTGTTGTGTTGTGTTGTGTTGTGTTGTATTGTGTTGTGTTGTATATTATTGTGTTGTGTTCGTATTGATTGTGTTGTGTTGTTTGTTTTTGTGTTGTATTGTGTTGTATTGTATTGTGTTGTGTTGCGTCGTTGTGTTTATGTGTTGTATTTATTGTTGTGTTGTGTTGTATTGTATTGTATTGTATTGTGTTGTGTTGTGTTGAGTGTTGTGTTGTGTTGTAATTGTTGTATTGTGTTGTTTGTTTGTTGCGTTGTGTTTGTTGTATTGTCGTTGTGTTGTGTTGTGTTGCGTTGTGTTGTGTTGTATTGTTGTGTTGTGTTGTATATTTGTGTTGTGTGTTTGTATTGTGTTGGTTGTGTTGTATTGTATTGTATTGTTGCGTTGTGTTGTGTTGTATTGTGTTGTGTTGTGTTGTTTTTTGTGTGTGTTGTATTGTATTGTGTTGTATTGTTGTGTTGTGTTGTATTGTGTTGTGTTTGTGTTGTGTGTGTTGTGTTGTATTGTGTTGTGTTGTATTGTATTGTGTTGTGTTGGTTGTGTTGTGTTGTGTTGTATTGTATTGTGTTGTGTTGTATTGTATTGTATTGTGTTGTGTTGTGTTGTGTTGTGTTGTTTTGTGTTGTATTGTATGTGTTGTGTTGTTGTGTTGTGTTGTGTTGTATTTGTGTTGTGTTGTATTGTGTTGTGTATTGTGTTGTGTTGTGTTGTATTGTGTTGTGTTGTGTTGTGTTGTATTGTTTGTGTTGTGTTGTGTTGTTTGTGTTGTGTTGTATTGTTTGTGTTGTGTTGTGTTGTGTTGCTTGTGTTGTGTTGTATTGTGTTGTGTTGTATTGTTTGTATTGTATGTGTGTTGTGTTGTATTGTGTTGTATTGTATTGTGTTGTTGTTGTTGTTTGTATTGTGTTGTGTTGTGTTGTGTTGTGTTGTGTTGTATTGTATTGTGTTGTGTGCTTGTGTTGTGTGTTTGTATTGTGTTGGTTGTGTTGTGTTGTGTTATGTGTGTGTGTATTGTATTGTGTTGTGTTGGTTTGTATTGTATTGTGTGTGTTTGTGTTTGTGTTGGTATTGTTTGTTTGTATTTGTGTTGTTTGTATTGTGTTTGTGTTGTATTGTGTTGTGTTGTATTGTGTTGGTGTTTTGTTGTGTTGTGTTTGTATTGTGTTGTGTTGTGTTGTGTTGTATTGTGTTGTGTTGTGTTGTGTTGTGTTGTTTGTGTTGTGTTGTGTATTGTGTTGTGTTGTGTTGTGTTGGTTGTTTGTGTTGTATTTTTTGTGTTGTGTTGTGTTGTATTGTGTGTGTTGTTGTATTGTTTTGGGTTTTTATTGTATTGTGTTGTGTTGTGTTGTGTTGTGTTGTTGTTGTGTTGTATTGTGTTGTGTTGTATTGTATTGTGCTGTGTTGTGTTGTATTGTGTTGCGTTGTGTTGTGTTGTGTTGTGTTGTATTGTATTGTGTTGTGTTGTATTGTATTGTATTGTGCTGTGTTGTGTTGTGTTGTATTGTGTTGTATTGTATTGTGTTGTGTTGTGTTGTATTGTGTTGTGTTGTATTGTGTTGTGTATTGTTGTGTTGTGTTGTATTGTGTTGTGTTGTGTTGTGTTGTATTGTGTTGTGTTGTGTTGTGTTGTGTTGTATTGTGTTGTGTTGTGTTGTGTTGTGTTGTGTTGTATTGTGTTGTGTTGTATTTTGTTGTGTTGTGTTGTGTTGTATTGTGTTGTGTTGTATTGTGTTGTGTTGTATTGTGTTGTGTTGTATTGTGTTGTGTTGTATTGTGTTGTATTGTGTTGTGTTGTATTGTGTTGTGTTGTATTGTATTGTGTTGTGTTGTGTTGTGTTGTGTTGTGTTGTGTTGTGTTGTATTGTGTTGTGTTGTATTGTATTGTGTTGTGTTGTGTTGTGTTGTGTTGTATTGTGTTGTGTTGTATTGTGTTGTGTTGTGTTGTGTTGTATTGTGTTGTGTTGTATTGTGTTGTGTTGTGTTGTGTTGTGTTGTAGTGTGTTGTGTTGTGTTGTGTTGTGTTGTATTGTGTTGTGTTGAATTGTGTTGTGTTGTGTTGTGTTGTATTGTGTTGTGTTGTGTTGTGTTGTGTTGTGCTGTGTTGTTTGTGTTGTGTTGTGTTGTATTGTATTGTATTGTATTGTGTTGTGTTGTGTTGTATTGTGTTGTGTTGTGTTGTGTTGTGTTGTGTTGTGTTGTATTGTATTGTATTGTGTTGTGTTGTGTTGTGTTGTGTTGTGTTGTGTTGTGTGTGTTTATTGTGTTGTATTGTGTTGTGTTGTGTTGTGTTGTGTTGTGTTGTGTTGTATTGTGTTGTGTTGTGTACTCCTGGTTAACTAGCGAGGCAGTCGAACGTATTGTTCATAATATAAGTGAAGTATTTTCTCCCTGAGTCAGCTGAGGTTTGCATCTCCCTGAGTCAGCTGAGGTTTGCATCTCCCTGAGTCAGCTGAGGTTTGCATCTCCCTGAGTCAGCTGAGGTTTGCATCTCCCTGAGGTGGGTTTTCCTCCCTGAGTAGATTCATTTTCCTCTGATCGTTGTATAATGCAAATTTAGAATGTTTTCTGTGCCGTCCCCGTTAATCTTTCACTCATATTCTTCCGTGTTTATGTCTGTTTCCACTTTCTCTCTCCCTTGACTGACACCAGCTTTCTCCCTCCCTCCACTCAGACGGTGGTTCTCTCCCTGCAGCGTGCCTGCTGGCGGCGGGGAAGGGCAGAGACGACTATATGGGTTACTCCTCTCAGCTGACGTGCCCCCCAACCCATGGAACTCATGGCAAGACCCGCCCCGGCTCCCCACACTCACCTCTCAAAGACCACAAGGAGGAGCCCATGGCCCTAGCTGACAAGACCCACCAACAGCATCAGCAGCAGCACCAGCAGCAGCAACAGCAGGATCAGCATCAGAAGAAACCGCTACACGCCAAGCTGCTGAGTGTGTCAGCGAGCCTGGAGATGAAGGCACTCTGGGATGAGTTCAATGAGCTTGGTACTGAGATGATCGTCACGAAGGCTGGCAGGTGAGCAACTGGTTATGACTCCATTCTGGCTTGTCTCAGTAGTGAAGGCAGCCGATAATGATATCTTAGCAGTCCTTGTAGCTCTCGTAGTAGAAGTCAAAGTCCTTACGTCAGCTCCTTAGTTAAAAGCAATAGGAACTATGTTGTAATAATGTTGGTAGAATTACCGATTATATATTGAGTTAGGTATAAGAATTACCAACTGGGCGCCTACACTGCAAACTGAATTGCTTGCCATCCTAATGATGCTAAAGTGAACTTATGACACTGAATTTAACCATGATTATTACTGATTCTGTGTCATCAGTGAAGGTTCTTGATTCACATAATGACTCTAACAACATGCTTATTAGAGAAGCCAGATGTTGATACTCAAAAATCAGAGGAATAGGAATTACTATACAAACGTTATGGATTCCATCACACATTGAATCACTCCTTCATGATAAAGTTGATATGTTAGCCGAAGAAAGTGACCTGAGGGAAAATGTAGAATATAACTTTAGTGTGTCTGTGTATAGTATTGTGAATAATATCAGAAGAGAAATAAATAATAAAACTGAGTGCCAGAGAAATGCATTTAGAAGCCTGAGTAGATATCTCGATCACTCACTATGATAACATGAACGTAGATAAATACGTACAGGGAGCAACTTGTAAAGTGAACATACTGACTGATATTGTAGTGGCCAGGCTTAGGCTTGGTTACTGACTGATGTTGTAGTGGCCAGGCTTAGGCTTGGTTACTGACTGATGTTGTAGTGGCCAGGTTTAGGCTTGGTTACTGACTGATGTTGTAGTGGCCAGGCTTAGGCTTGGTTACTGACTGATGTTGTAGTAGCCAGGCTTAGGCTTGGTTACTGACTGATGTTGTAGTAGCCAGGCTTAGGCTTGGTTACTGACTGATGTTGTAGTGGCCAGGCTTAGGCTTGGTTACTGACTGATGTTGTAGTGGCCAGGCTTAGGCTTGGTTACTGACTGATATTTTGTATGGCCAGGCTTAGGCTTAGTTACTGACTGATATTTTGTATGGCCAGGCTTAGGCTTGGTTACTGACTGATATTGTAGTGGCCAGGCTTAGTCTTGGTTACTGACTGATATTGTAGTGGCCAGGCTTAGGCTTGGTTACTGACTGATGTTGTAGTGGCCAGGCTTAGGCTTGGTTACTGACTGATATTGTAGTGGCCAGGCTTAGGCTTGGTTACTGACTGATGTTGTAGTGGCCAGGCTTAGGCTTGGTTACTGACTGATGTTGTAGTGGCCAGGCTTAGGCTTGGTTACTGACTGATATTTTGTATGGCCAGGCTTAGGCTTAGTTACTGACTGATATTTTGTATGGCCAGGCTTAGGCTTGGTTACTGACTGATATTGTAGTGGCCAGGCTTAGGCTTGGTTACTGACTGATATTGTAGTGGCCAGGCTTAGGCTTAGTTACTGACTGATATTTTGTATGGCCAGGCTTAGGCTTGGTTACTGACTGATATTGTAGTGGCCAGGCTTAGGCTTGGTTACTGACTGATATTTTGTATGGCCAGGCTTAAGCTTGGTTACTGACTGATATTGTAGTGGCCAGGCTTAGGCTTGGTTACTGACTGATATTTTGTATGGCCAGGCTTAGGCTTGGTTACTGACTGATATTGTAGTGGCCAGGCTTAGACTTGGTTACTGACTTATATTGTAGTGGCCAGGCTTAGGCTTGGTTACTGACTGATATTGTAGTGGCCAGGCTTAGGCTTGGTTATTGACTGATGTTGTAGTGGCCAGGCTTAGGCTTGATTACTGACTGATGTTGTAGTGGCCAGGCTTAGTCTTGATTACTGACTGATGTTGTAGTGGCCAGGCTTAGGCTTGATTACTGACTGATGTTGTAGTGGCCAGGCTCAGACTTGGTTACTGACTGATGTTGTAGTGGCCAGGCTTAGGCTTGGTTATTGACTGATGTTGTAGTGGCCAGGCTTAGGCTTGATTACTGACTGATGTTGTAGTGGCCAGGCTTAGGCTTGGTTATTGACTGATGTTGTAGTGGCCAGGCTTAGGCTTGATTACTGACTGATGTTGTAGTGGCCAGGCTTAGGCTTGGTTACTGACTGATGTTGTAGTGGCCAGGCTCAGACTTGGTTACAAGTACTTCTGGTAGTTTGACAGACAAACACATGATAATCATACTAAATGTAAAGTCTATGATCAGCCTTATGGTGACTATGTGAGGACTATAGACACAGATAATATAATAACCTATGACCTATGAAAATAAGATATCAAGCATATTAAGTAAATATCCTAAAGTTGATAGCAACAGCTACGTCAATTGAAAATATAAATCCAGATGTACTCCTGTTAACCCTTGTGTGCTACCATCCACAGGATGGATATGAGGTGCACAATAAACTAGCCAATACTATCCACAGGATGGATATGAGGTGCACAATAAACTAGCCAATACTATCCACAGGATGGATATGAGGTGCACAATAAACTAGCCAATACTATCCACAGGATGGATATGAGGTGCACAATAAACTAGCCACTACCATCCACAGGATGGATATGAGGTGCACAATAAACTAGCCAATACTATCCACAGGATGGATATGAGGTGCACAATAAACTAGCCACTACCATCCACAGGATGGATTTTGAGGTTTCACAATAAACTAGCCACTACCATCCACAGGATGGATATGAGGTGCACAATAAACTAGCCACTACCATCCACAGGATGGATATGAGGTGCACAATAAACTAGCCACTACCATCCACAGGATGGATATGAGGTGCACAATAAACTAGCCACTACCATCCACAGGGTGGATATGAGGTGCACAATTTAAACTAGCCACTACCATCCACAGGGTGGATATGAGGTGCACAATAAACTAGCCACTACCATCCACAGGGTGGATATGAGGTGCACAATAAACTAGCCACTACCATCCACAGGATGGATATGAGGTGCACAATAACTAGCCACTACCATCCACAGGATGGATATGAGGTGCACAATAAACTAGCCACTACCATCCACAGGATGGATATGAGGTGCACAATAAACTAGCCACTACCATCCACAGGGTGGATATGAGGTGAACAATAAACTAGCCACTACCATCCACAGGATGGATATGAGGTGCACAATAAACTAGCCACTACCATCCACAGGATGGATATGAGGTACACAAACTAGCCACTACCATCCACAGGATGGATATGAGGTGCACAATAAACTAGCCACTACCATCCACAGGATGGATATGAGGTACACAAACTAGCCACTACCATCCACAGGATGAATATGAGGTGTACAATAAACTAGCCACTACCATCCACAGGATGGATATGAGGTGCACAATAAACTAGCCACTACCATCCACAGGATGGATATGAGGTACACAAGCTAGCCACTACCATCCACAGGATGGATATGAGGTACTCAATAAACTAGCCACTACCATCCACAGGATGGATATGAGGTGCACAATAAACTAGCCACTACCATCCACAGGATGGATATGAGGTACTCAATAAACTAGCCACTACCATCCACAGGATGGATATGAGGTGCACAATAAACTAGCCACTACCATCCACAGGATGGATATGAGGTGCACAATAAACTAGCCACTACCATCCACAGGATGGATATGAGGTACTCAATAAACTAGCCACTACCATCCACAGGATGGATATGAGGTGCACAATAAACTAGCCACTACCATCCACAGGATGGATATGAGGTACTCAATAAACTAGTCACTACCATCCACAGGATGGATATGAGGTGCACAATAAACTAGCCACTACCATCCACAGGATGGATATGAGGTGCACAATAAACTAGCCACTACCATCCACAGGATGGATATGAGGTGCACAATAAACTAGCCACTACCATCCACAGGATGGATATGAGGTGCACAATAAACTAGCCACTACCATCCACAGGATGGATATGAGGTACTCAATAAACTAGCCACTACCATCCACAGGATGGGTATGAGGTACACAATAAACTAGCCACTACCATCCACAGGATGGATATGAGGTGCACAATAAACTAGCCACTACCATCCACAGGATGGATATGAGGTGCACAATAAACTAGCCACTACCATCCACAGGATGGATATGAGGTGCACAATAAACTAGCCACTACCATCCACAGGATGGATATGAGGTGCACAATAAACTAGCCACTACCATCCACAGGATGGATATGAGGTACATAAACTAGCCACTACCATCCACAGGGTGGATATGAGGTGCACAATAAACTAGCCACTACCATCCACAGGATGGATATGAGGTACTCAATAAACTAGCCACTACCATCCACAGGATGGGTATGAGGTACACAATAAACTAGCCACTACCATCCACAGGATGGATATGAGGTGCACAATAAACTAGCCACTACCATCCACAGGATGGATATGAGGTGCACAATAAACTAGCCACTACCATCCACAGGATGGATATGAGGTGCACAATAATCTAGCCACTACCATCCACAGGGTGGATATGAGGTGCACAATAAACTAGCCACTACCATCAACAGGATGGATATGAGGTGCACAATAAACTAGTCACTACAGAGATACAAGTTAGTCTGATTAAGGTCCCTGGTCATCAGTGATAGTATACCCTCTACCCATATACTAAAGAATGCCTTATACTCATGTGCTAAACTCATAAAACTCACATAGGTCAAACAAAACGAAAAAAAATATCTACCTGGAGTCTACCTGGAGGGCAACCGAGGATCAACGCCCCCGTGGCCCGGTCCACGACCAGGCCTCCTGGTGGATCAGGGCCTGATCAACCAGGCTGTTACTGCTGGCCGCACGCAATCCAACGTACGAACCACAGCCCGGCTGATCCGGCACCGTCTTTAGGTATCTGTCCAGCTCCCTCTTGAAGACAACCAGGGGTCTACCGGTAATGCCCCTTATTGCTGGTGGGAGGCTGTTGAACAGTCTTGGGCTCCGGACACTTACTGTGTTTTCTCTTAGTGTACCAGTGACGCCCCTACTTTTCACTGGGGGTATGTTGCATCGCCTGCCAAGTCTTTTGGTTTCGTATGGAGTGATTGCTGTGTGCATATTAGGGACCAGTCCCTCCAGAATCTTCCAGGTGTAGATTATGATATATCTCTCTCGCCTGCGCTCTAGTGAATACAAGTCAAGTGCTTCCAGGCGTTCTCAGTAGTTAAGGTGTTTGATGGAACTTATACGTGCAGTAAAGGTTCTCTGTAAATTCTCTAGACGTCATCTGTGACAAAAGCTTGAGATCACTAGCCCTGGCCTCGCAAACAAAAGCTTGAGATCACTACCCCTGTCGTCGCAAACAAAAGTTTAAGATCACAAGCCCTGGCGTCGCAAAAAAAAGCTTGAGATCACTAGCCCTGACATCACAAACAAAATTCATAAGTGATAAATGGCTTGGAAAACCTACAACTTGAAGAATTGAGACATTTATGCAACATACGGGAATCCTTATCGAAGAACCGTGTCGCCACACAGTGACTTCATCAGTCCAATACAAAATCTATAAGTGATGAAAGACTGAGATTGATTATTGAATGAATGATGTAGGTTGTTCGGTATTTCTCGGTCCGGGTCTGAGATTGGTAAACTACTTACAATCACAATACTTTATTTATTTGTTTATTTATTTATTTATTTTATGTCTTTGCAAACAGTACATTGAGATTTTATATTTACAATAGTGGGTTGCAATACAAAGACAGCCTCTATTATGCCTAGGCATTATGGACCAACTTAACATTATTGGCTTACAGTCTACTTAACACTAAGGAGTATATCATAGTT